TACTCTTGGTGAACTGTTTTCTCCCTCCCTCTCTATCTCTCTCTATACACACACGCATACACACACACGCATACACACACACATGCATACACACACACGCATACACACACACGCATACACACACACATCTTTGTGCATACAAACATATATATGCATACCTATAAATAAAAACTGTAACAATCTGAAGAATATTTCTCTTTCTCTTTTATTGTTTACTATATAAATAATTTTGCTTCTTTTTGGTACATTTTTAACTTAATTTTTTCTTCTATTGAATTTAGAGACAAAGTTTTATTATGGATCATATATATTAATAAGTGTTCCTAGAGTTAAAAAAATTAAAGAATTCTTATTCCAGAATTGCAGAGACACTAGGGCAAATATTGGGGAAGCCTGAACTGAGCTTCTTGAAGGTGACAACAGGGGGGTATGGGCCTTGGTAAGGTAGACAGGGGCATAAGTATAGCTTATTGAAGGCTTTTAGCAGTAATGATTGCATGAATCATTTCTGGTCCTAATTTTGCCATCAAGCATATGCATAAAACCCCTTATATACGTAAATGCCATAAATGTGTTTTGGTAAGGAAACTGCAATTATAGTAATTTGCATAGCCTTTTTATTTGTGTATCCTCTTATCCTTGCCATATGCTTATGAGGTTGATAGTATTTTAATATTCATTTAAAGAAGAAGAAACAGAAGCTCAGAAAAGTGACTTATTTTTTTTTTAATATTTATTTATTTATTTAATCCTCACCCAAGGACATTTTTCCATTTTTTGTACAGATAGAGTGGGAGGGAGAGAGAGGAAGAGAGAGAGAAAGAGAGAGAATCATCGATGTGAAAGGGACATATCGAGTGGCTGCCACCCGCAGGACCAACCAGGGCCGGGGACAAACTGCAACCGAGGTACATGCCCTTAGCGTGAACCGAACCTGGGTCTCTCCGGACTGCAGGTGGACGCTCTAACCGCTGAGCCAAACTGGCCAGGGCGTGACTTACTTATTATTTTCTAATATCAAGCAAAGCCTGAGTATGGCAAGTCATTGTTAAACAGATACCAATTATAACTATGATTCTTTGCTTTATAAAGGTAAACTTATGAGGCTCTTTAAGGATCCGTGAGTCATACCTTCTGCTCAAGCAATTAAGATACCAATGAGAAAGGTTTGCCAATCATATTTAGAAACAAGCAAGATAGTGTATTTACCATAAGTCTATGATACAGTATCCTGGATAAAACAGATTTCAGCAAAAGATGTGTGGGGTTCCATCCAAGGACACATCCAATGCATGTTAGTTTATCCAATTACCTTGCTAAAAAGTGATGTAATTTGTGAGCGAGTTTTAATGTGAACTGCAAGGATAGTGTCATAGAGAGGTGACAAAGCATGTACTTATTTTTGAACATTCAGTGTTGTCTGTACACATTTTTTCTTGTGTTGAAATCATGTAAGATGTTCTATTTTATAAATATGAATTTAAGTGTGTCCTGTAAATATATTCATGTTTCTTGCATTAACAAAAAAATCCCTCTACTTGATTCTGTTTTCTCCTACTGCTCCAAATTCCACAATGTTTCACTTCTTCATATCTTACACAAGCTCACAAGCTGGAAGCTCAAAGTCTAAAATTAAGATGTTGGTAGGAATATACTCCCTCCAAAACCTGTAGGTAAAATCAGTTTTTGCTTCTTCCATCTTCTGGTAGCCACAGAAGTTCCTTGGCTTGTGTCAACATCATGACCATCTCTGCCTTGTTTCCATATGGCTGTCGTCCATTGTGTGTTTCATCTGTGTATCTCTTCTGCTCCTTCTAACAAGGGGAGCAGCAAGTTTAATTAGTGCCCACCCTAAAACGACTTTGTCTGAAGTTGATTACAACTGCAAAGACCCTATTTCCAAATGAGATCACATTCACAGGAATTAGGACTTCCACATATATTTTTGGAGGACACAATATCATGCATACCAGGGAGCTTACCAGTTAGTGTTTGATGAGGAAAATAAAGCCATTAAGAATGAAAAAGAATAATGGATTTATTACTGAGATTTGACTTTCTGCAATTGTGAGACTCAGTTAAACAGTCAATGTAAGGATGCTACTTTTGCATGTGGTGATGGTGTTCAAGTTTGGAGCACAAGCTTTTTCCCTTAGAAAAAGGGAAAACTGCCCTGGCCGGTTTGGCTCAGCGGTTAGAGCATTGGCCTGCGGTCCAAAGAGACCCGGGTTCGGTTCCCGCTAAGGGCATGTACCTTGTTTGCAGTTTGTCCCCGGCCCTGGTTGGTCGTGCGGGTGGCAGCCACTCGATGTGTCCCTTTCACGTCGATGTTTCTCTCTCTCTCTTCCTCTCTCTCCCTCCTACTCTATCTGTGAAAAATGTCCTCGGGTGAGGATAAAAAAAAAAAAAAAAGAAAAAAAGAAAAAGGGAAAACTTGGACACACAGACACACACAGAGGGAGGATGATATGAAGACACAGGGAGAAGACAGCCGATTATAAGCCAAGGAGAGAGGCCTGGAACAGATCATTCCTTCACAGTCCTCAAATCAGCCAACCATGCCAATACTTTGATTTTGGACTTCTATCCTCCAGAACCGAGACAATAATTTCTGTTTCTTCAACTACCCAATCTGTGGAACTTTGTTAAGGCAGCCTTAGGACACTAATAAGATAGTTGCTTATATACATCTATGTAAATGAACATTTTTTATTGGATAGAATGCAGACTTTAATTTTAGTTTCATTATTATAATTGCACAGAATATAAAGAAATTACATTATAGATGTATTTCTGCTATAAATGAATGTATTTTTCTACATATATATTTTTTCTCTGTTGCATTTCTTTTAACTGCATTAATATTTTTCTTCTTTTGCCCTAATTTATTTTTTATTTTATTATTATTTTTTTGTCTTACAGAATTTTTTACTTTCAATTATGGTTGACAAACACTACTATATTAGTTTCAGATATACACCCCAGTAATTAGATATTACATAACTAAGTGATCATCTTGATAAATATTAAACTCATCAGACACCTTACATAGATGCCCAGCAGTTAGAGTATCAGCCTGAGGGCTGAAGGGTCGAAGGTTCAATTTCTGGTCATGGGCACATATCTGGGTTGCAGGTTCAATCCCCAGCCCTGGTCGGGTTTGTGTGGGAGACAACCAAGAAATCTCGCTTTCTTTCTTTCTCTCTCTCTTCCTTTCTACCTTCCATTCTATCTAAAAGTCAATGGCAAAATATCCTCAAGTGAGGAATAACAAAAAATACATAAATAAACAAATAAATAAATAGGTAAAAATGTTGAGACAAGGCAGCTTTAACAAGTTTATTTTATATTGTTCAGAGGAGATGGTATATTCTACTGTTTCCAGTAGATGAGTGCTATTCCTCAGTGAAGTAATTTTACACTTCAAAAAAAAAGACATCTACAGAATGGGTGGAGACTTATTTTTAAGATGCTATATGAAAGTTGCTACATGAATGAAAATTATAGATTTATTACCATTGTGCTCATTAATAACAGACTTGATTTCCCAAAGCATATTCTTTTGCCTATAGTTAATTCAAAAGGTCTTCTTATATAAGAGAGAAAAAAAATAAAGAATGCATGTTATCACAAATAGAATTTTAAAAATGTAAAATTTAAAGTAGCTGTGGTCAAGAATAGAAAACCATGAAAGATAAATTAGAAATATATGAATTTTTCAAAGCATACTATTGGCCTAGATTTACCTTTAAATGGATTGGAATTTGTATTACTGACATTCAGATATTTAGGGCTTGCTTGAATTCTTTGGTTGGTGCTTTTTCTAAAGATATCTGTTAAAACTGGAACCATTTTCCCCCATAGACACATTTAACAGTTTTGAGACTTGACTATGGCTAGTTTGAGGATTATTTTTTCTAGAAAAGTAGAACAACGTTAAAATAATAGAAAAACCACCTTAATAACTATCTAATGATATTTGTTAACTAGTTGAAACCGTTGTCAAAATTTACCTCTTTGTTCCTTTTTGTTTTTCAAGGGTTTACTTATATCATTCCAAGGGATGCTATTATGAGCTTTGCAAGATTAATTAGAATATTTTTATCATGTTTCAAATGAAAGCAGGCTTGAAACAGGGTACCACTTTGGTATTTCCTAAGATACAGGATGCCTATAGCAAAAAAAATAATAAATAAAATAATTCATCACAATTCAACAAATATTTATACATTTGTAAATTTAATGTTGAAGTTAAGACTGGTAAATCCTAACAGCAGCAACATTGTGGGGATTTTCATAAAACAAATAAGTTCATATTCATAGCTATTACTATCCCCAGGGGACTTACATATTCAGAAGATATTAGAAGAAGTCAGGGTAGACATTTTGCTCAATCCATGGAATTTACCCCTTAATCAAATATTGGGCTCTCTGACCCTCTCTTAGACCTTTGATATCCATGAAATAATTCCTATAAAAAATGAAATAAAAATAAAAAATACGTATAACAAAATGGAAAAATATATAATGAAAATAGAAACAAATGAAAATGATTCCTGTGTTCTATTCCTTTGAGAATCCCCATTCATCCTGAACAGAAGAGCTACTTTCACTCCTGTCTCGACTCAGTTCAACCCTTGCCTGTGAACTTGCCAGAGAGAGCTACTTACAGAGAGCGGTTTTGGGAACACTGGTTATCAGGGACCAAATCAAGCTCACCAAGTCTGTTTGTAAAGGCCAGTGAAGAGCAGGAAAATGAAAATTACTTTCAGATATTACTAATGTACACCAGGTTTGGGTTAGGAGTCGAGCAATAAAAAAGGTTCTGTATCTTATTACTCATCACTTGAGTCGCTTGTTTCCCTTGTTCTTTAATTAACTCCTGTTATTTTAAAAAGTGCTTTGGTAATGTTTTCACTTAAGTATAGGAAATGATGGTCTTCGTTCAAACCTTTAACTTTTTTATTTTATTTTTTTATTGTTGTTCTTTTTCTCCGCAGGGATGCAGATCTGTTTTTGTTAGACACAAGAAAGGCCCAGGCTTCAGATGTGGGTTGGCTCGTCTTTGATATCACTGTGACCAGCAATCATTGGGTGATTAATCCGCAGAACAATTTGGGCTTACAACTCTGTGCAGAAACAGGAGATGGTAAGCACTGGATTTAATGTGTTTGTGTGTGTGTGTGTGTGGTGCTGGTTTTGACACATTGAGGGTTACAGCTTTTGGTTCAATTGAGGCAGTATGTGCTTGGTACTTATGATGTGCAAGGTAGTGTATTCCACAGGAGAGTGTACTGTATTACTTAATCAGTTTATGAACACATTTACTCAACATACATGTATTGTCAGGCTCTGTGGTAGGGGTGGAGAGGAAGTAGGCGCTGTTCCTGCTCTCAAGGAGATTTTAATCTTATATTGAAAACATGTATGCAAACAAGCAGAAATAACGTAATATAATAATATCAAAAGAAAACTATGTACGAAATGCTATGGACCTATGTCTTAATATGGTGGTGGTTACAAAACTAAAGAATTTGTAAACACAAATAGAACTATACATTAAGTAAAAATGAGTATGTAAATTATATCTCAAAATCTGACTTAACATAACAAAGAAATGTACATTTTAAAGGTTCTAGGGCCCTGGTCGGTTTGGCTCAGTGATTAGAGTGTTGGCTTGTGGATCAAAGACTTGTGGGTTTGATTGAAGTCAAGGGCACATATCTTGGTTGTGGTTCCTCCCTGGCCCTGGTCTGGGTTGTGCGGGAGGCAACCAGTCAACGTGTCTCTCTCACATTGATGTTTCTCTCTCTCCCCCTCCCTTCTACTCTATCTGAGGTTAAATGGAAAAATATCCCCGAGTGAGGATTAAAAAAAAAGGTTCTAGGGAAACAGACAAAAGAGGTGCTAATAATAATGCAAGGGGGAAGAGAAGTTGGGGATGAAACAAAAGAGTCACACACACACACACACACACACAAACAAACCAGAAAATAATATCACATTAGGTCTTAACATGTTATAATATTTGGTCAAAGACAACAGCTCCAAAATCACTTAATGGGGGGTGGGAGGTGGGTCTGTAGGTAATCTTCATTTTTAAGAAACCCCAGAAGTTATTCTTCTGCTCACAAGTATTCATTGAGCAACTGTGTGTTGCATGGTTGGCTAGATGCTAGACATGAAGTGGTGAGTTAATGCAGAAGTGCTTTCATGAGGCTTTGATGAGGCTCAAGGTGGTAATCACATCATGATATTGGTGAATGTATGTCACTACACACTGAGAAGAGTCTGGTGGACGTATGAGTATTGAATGGCGAGAGAATTCAAGCTATAATCTTAAAGATCAGGAAGATGTGATTAGGGAAAGAAGTTGTGGAAGGGTAGTCATTTCAGACAAGTAGAAAATAATTTACAGACTGTGGTGAGAGGGAGAGTCCTGGCACATTTGATCAAGAAGTCAGGGAAGCCAAGGCCAATTTATTCAGAGCGTTGTTGGCCTTTGATCACTCAAGAGTCCAAAAATTTTAAATTCAAATATGAACTTGCAGGTTATTTAAAATTATGCTGGTCATGGTAGGAGGATAGAACGTAATTTACTTAATGATTCGTTAATTTGATTCATAATTTTTAAATATTTAGAAGTATACCAAGTGGGCCTACATTGTGTTCTTGCCCCACAAATATTAGGGTGAGGCCTAGGGAGGGTAGTTTTTAAAAGGATGATAATTAGAGAACATGCCTTATTAAGTTTTACTGCTTTTAGTTTTTCTCGGGATCAGGCAATAGAAACATTAGTTGTAGAATCTGTCTCTCTTATTTCTCCTCGCCTTGTTTACTGAACTCCAGTGAAGCCTAAGATGTGTCTGTCATGGGTTTCTTTCAAGGTGGTTATTACTGTAGGCAAAAGGACTTTACATGGCATTGTTTTACCTATAAGCAATTCACAGCCTAAGAATATCATAACCAATATTATTATTACAAGGTTTTGTATGCGGAATGCTGTTGACTGCCATAAACTAAGTATATTCTGGAGTTAGTCTATTAAAGGTTTCATGGGCCTCAGATCTTGACAGAGAAACAATGTTTTTGCTGAAAGTGTTATAGATAAATTTCAGACCCCCTTCACCCATACTTTCCACATATTTTAATTACAATGCTGAATTTTTTAATAAATAATGTAAATATTTTTGATTTATAGGTTATTTTTCAATTATGGCTTCAAGATTAGTGTTAAGGATTTTCAGTATTCATGCATTATAATTGTGAACTGAGAAAAAGCACATATTTAAATAATCTTCCAAAAATTCTTACAGTGTCAAACTACTGTACATTTATGGTCAGAAAAGTGACTGGGAAATCGGCAGTGTAGGGGTGAGCCAGTCGGTTCTTTGCTGGTATGTGGCCCAAACAAAAAAAATTAAATCAGTGGTATGTGCTTCTCCCCGTCTTTTCCTTGGGGATACGCTTGAAATGTCTAACTAAACAACTCAAGAAATCTGTGAAATATGATCAGCCTCTTTCCTTTTCATTCCCTCCCCCACCACTTGAAAATTCTGAAATTTCTCTGCTGTTTTTTCACCCTCTTCTATTGGTTCTCTTTCCTTTACTATCTATATAATTGAGCTTCTGTCTGACTTCAATTTATCTTTTTCTCTGCCACAACTACTTGACATTTTCTGTTTCCCCTCTTCCCTTAATTTATTTCTCTTATATTTTAATTGTAAATTTACTGTAAATTACTGTTGTATTACTTGCGGGGTTTTTTAAGACCCTAAAATAAACAAACATTTCACTTTTTTTTCAAAGGTTGCTAAGTTATTTTTTTAAGAGTTAGGTTTGCTATAGACAGCATTTTGTTGCTCTTCTTTGTCTCTTTAATATTGTCTAATAGGAAAGTATTAAAGTGGTTAAATATGCTAGGCAAGCTGGCTTTTTACATTTAAGCAATACTTAAAACAGATTTTAACCAGAGGTAGAGCGTATATGGCCTTAGAAAAGCAAGGGACCCTCCCACTACCTGAATTTTATTAACTGCAACCTCGTGGAGAATATACATGTGCCATTTCTCTATAAATGTGGATAACCAGATGCTTCCACTTATTACTGCACCATTCATTACTACTGCTGATATTCTCAACATGATATTGTGATATTGCTTCAAATGGAGCAGATAGATCATCTTTTATTTGCACCAATAGATTCTGAATGTGTTTACTTTTCAGCAAAAGTAACTGGACGTTGTAAAAGAATGATACTCAGAAAAGTCTGCTTTCAAATGCATTTGTTGACTATTATCCATTTATTTACTTGTTCAACAGAAAATTATTGATTGCCTGTACCCTCAAGACAAAATGTTAAAGAGCAATATAACTTGGGAGAAAGACGTGTGTAGTTAATCTTAAGAAGAATAAGGTACCATGAATGCAAAAAATAGTGATACAAGCAAGACACTATAAGAAAACTGAAAAAAGATGATTGAGTCCAAGTGAGACACAGACAACAGGAGTGTGGTTGAGGTGGCTTTTAAACTGGGTCACCTGGGTAAGATTTCAAGAGAGAGAGAGATGAGGAGGGAGGGGGTTGTGGCGGGTATATGGAGTAGTGGAGAGACCAGGAGGAGAAAATTCATTCCTGGATGAGGAAACAATGTGAGTAAATACATAGGATGGAAAAATATCATGGTATAGTCTGGAAAAAGTCAATAGTCTAGAGTTGGCTAGAACAACTTTTATGTGTAAATCTGATTGCAGATGCTATTAGGAAGGTGACTTGGAGACAAATCATGGAAGGAGCATGAAATTTAACTTATGTATCGTATTTTCTTGTTGCTTGCTCACACTTCATAAAAGAACTAGACTTGCTGCTTTAATCAATCACAGCAACACCGCTGTGATTACATGTTGGAATGAATATCAGTTTCATGAGGTCATGGGATGTGTATTTCTTGTTCACAATTACACCCTTGGTGCTTGGTACAATGCAGGTTGTAGGTATTAAAAACATGTCTTGAATGATCATTGAATGAGTTTGTGATTTAAAAGGCTCTTTTAGACCACCTGACACTGAACATATTACTCTTAAAAAGACATTCCATACTGTAAATTTTAGGTGATTATTAACCAAACCAGTTTGGTGTAACACAGGAGAAGAATTTTGTACCGCAAACCACAGTGCAGTAGTTAAAATAGTTTCAATCACAAGGTGAGGAGAAAGTCAGTGATGAATATTGTTAAATTTTGTTTATCCTGCTCCTGCAAAGAAAAAATCGCAGAGGCCTAAATATATTTTGGAAATCAAAAGACTGTTGAAATCAAAAGTAACATTGTGATTTCTCAGAGGACCTGTGGAAAATACGTCAGTTTGTGAAGTATTCTTTTAGAAATCTGACAAATGAACTGCCATGGATTTGGCAGGAGAGTTTAATAATATTCTATTGATTTTTTTTTTCATGCAGAATAGATGATTCTCTGAGTTTTATAGGTCTGTTTCAGCACGATAAAGCAAACATGAGCAAGTAAACAAACATAAAATTGCTGCTTTTTAATGGACAAATATAGAGATTTCAGACAAGTGGTTGTATCCATCTGTGCAAAATCAGTTTCCAAGTTCTCAAGCAAACTCTCATGGTGATGAATAAACTTCCATAATAGAATACGTACTCTCTTTTAATAGCAAATAAGTAGGCTTGGGTCTGTCTTATAATTTATTGTTATATTTTTAATTTCCTAAATTATAAAATTATATTAAGTATATGACTTATTGGGACATCATTGAAACGGTTATTAAAGCTATGGTAATTATTATCACACAGAGTTTATTAAACAGTAGTTCAATCTAGCTTTTAAGATGGGGTTTTCACCCTAAACACTGTAATTTTCTATTGCTTGATGCTTTATATAGTTTAAACCTTCCAAGTAAATTAATTCTTTTTTCAAACTTGAGTTTATAGAATAATTTAGAGATGGAAAAACAAAGATAGTATTTTTGGGATCATTAGAATGTCTTTTAAAAAACCCTATGTTTTCAGACATTTTAGGTTTGGCAATACTCAGAACGAGTTTTGCCAATGACTTTTTCCTCTCTATTCAAACCCACTTATACGTCAAGGAAAATTCAATCCGTATGTTTCTGATTCATTTGTATTCA